TTTAAATTAAATTCATTCATGTTTACACAAATGATGATTTGTCTTATTACAACTAGAAATTACAACCAACTGGAATTAAGCAATGCATGAATTAAGAACGAACACTTGGTTTAACCCCCTGTCAACGTGTGTGGCCAAACTATTTATCATGATAACTATGAAGTCTCCTGTTTATCGGAAATGATTTGATAAATTGTATTTCTCTTGGCTTATTTATATATATATATATATATATATATATATATATATATATATATATATATATATATATTTATATATATATATATATATATATATATATATATATATATATATATATATATATATATATATATATATATATATATATATATATATATATATATATATATATATATATATATATATATATATATATATATATTATATATATATATATATATATATATATATATATATATATATATATATATATATATATATATATATATATATACTATATATAATATTAAATTCAAATAATTTAGTAATGTTTTTACTGAAAAAATCACGTGGTAGCATAAGTAGTGGGATTTATCTCTAAAAACACACCGAATAACTATTGATTATTTAAACAATCGACTTAAGGATCAAAATTACTAATGAAAAGATATTGGATATAAAGTGTAAATAATAATTTTTTAATCGATTTCATTTTTCAAATCATGTCTTGTTATTTTTTCCCTTTTAAATTTATTTTTGTTTTAAGTTGCAAGTATTATTATTTTATAATCTTTTATTTCTAAAACTATTTTTGTTAATGAATATAACAATTTTTAATTATTTCCAATTACAATTAAATGGAATTATTCTAACCATAAAAAATAAGTTTTGTGTGAATTCATGATACTATAATAGTAGAAAGACGATGCTTAAAACTGCTGTGATGATTTGAAATTATCTCAATTTTTCAAAATAATTAAAGAGGTCTATTTATTCTTTTTAGTACAAAGGAGGACTGATGGAAGGTATGTACATAATATATATATATTTGATGTATCAATCTTAAATTAATTCAATTAAGTCACTAATTTTAAAAATTAGTACATTTAAAAAAAGAGATCGACACTTCAATTTTTTGTTGATCATATTTAAAATGCGTCTTTTGTTGTGTTAAACAAATAATTAGTTGAATTAGTTTAATGTTTAAATATGTAAGTTTTTTTTTTTCTATTTTAAATATGTCATTTTTTATTTTATTTTAATTATCATAAATATTTATTATTTATTATTTTTGTTAAATTTTAATTTATAATGTCGAAAAGATTAGATTTGTTTTAGATTTAAATAGATTTGATTTAAGTTTAGAATAGATTTGATTTGATTTAGTAACAAAATAGATATTTTGGGCTTTGGGCTTAGGGTGCAAACTCTCCCCTATCTTTTGTAAACAAGTCAAGCAAGTCATTCATAGTATTTTGCAGTTTTAAGTGAATAATAAAGTTTCACAGTTTGTGAGCAGAGAGAAACTCTACAGAAATTATTTGTCTTGTCTTCATTCTTTGTTTGTCTCATAATTAAATTGTCATTGTGGTAGAAATTCATCTTAGACTTTGGTGAGTTTCCAACATCTGGTATCAAGAGCTTTTGTTTCGATTCGAGGGAAGTGTCAATCAAGAACGATTGAAGAATTCACGATGACAAGTTATGGGAATGCAAACTATCCAGCGACGCTGCCAATTATGAAAGTTGACAACTATGAGAACTGGTGTAAACAGATGAAAGTCTTATTCAGGTGTCAAAGTCTTTGGGACCTTGTAAAAGATGGAGTCGAAGCGCTTGGAGAAAATGCTTCAGAAGAAGAAAAGAAGAAATACACAGAATCTGAGAAACTGAGTTATAAAACATTATTTATAATTCATCAATGTGTCAGCCCAGGAAATTTCAAAAAGGTGAGTGATTCAGAATCTGCAAAAGAAGCTTGGGACGTTCTTGAGAAGTCCTTTGGAGGTGCAGAAAAGGTAAAAGAAGTGAGGTTACAAACTTACAAGAGAACCTATGAATTGCTCCAGATGGAAGATAGTGAGAGCATATCTGATTTCTTCACTAGAGTACAAAACTAGTGAATCAAATCAAGGCATGTGGAGAAACATTAACAACAAGAGTTGTTGTTTCGAAGATCTTGAGATCTTTAGCTCCTAAGTTCGATCACATAGTGGCGGCGATAGAAGAGGGGAAATACTTGTCGAAATTGACAAAGGAAGAGCTTCAAGGGACGCTTGAATCTCATGAACAAAGAATGAACGAAAGAGCTGCATGCAAATCGAAGAGTGATGTGGCCTTGCAGGCACATTCAACAAAAGAGACCAAAGGCAAAGGAAAGTGTTTTGACAGAGGTAGAGGTGGCTAAAACAAATCAAATGGTAGAGAAAACCAGATCGAAAGAAACATGTCAAATCAAAGAAAACCATACCAAGGCAACCAAAGAAGTGGTGTTGTAAATAGAGGAAGAGATGGTGGTCAAAAACCTGATAAGAGTCACATTCAATGTTACAATTGTCATAAGTATGATCACTATTTGAGTGATTATCCAGAAAAATGAAAGAATCAAGAAAGTGATGGAAAGCTTGCAAAACACGAAGAAGAAGAGATGATGCCGATGGTCACAACAAAAGATGAAGATAGATTCAAGGACCAATTGTACTTGGATTCTGGATGTTCATCACATATGTCTGGAAGGAAACACTGGTTTGTCAACATAAAGCCCTCAACGAAAAATATGGTAAAATTTGCAAATGACAATACCCTAGCAGCTGAAGGTATTGGTGATGTTATGATCATGAGGAAAGATGGTAAAAGGTCAGTAATTTTCAATGTATTGTACATACCAGACATGAAGAGAAATTTGCTCAGTATATGGCAGTTGGTCGAAAAGAATTATAAAGTGTCAATCAAAGATAAGATGATGAGAGTCGTTGATGCAAAGGGGAGATTAATCTTGAATGGCTCCTATGTCTCAGAATTGAACCTTCAAGATTGAACTAAATGTGATGGAGCACAAGTGCCTTTCGACTGCAGCTAGCAGAGATAAATGATATGGCATTATAGACTAGGCCATCTCAACTTCAGAGACATCAGATATTTTAAGAGAAGAAATATGGTTTCAGGATTGCATAAATCAACATTCCAAATGAGGTATGTGAGGAATGTGTGCAAGCAAAGCAACACAAGAATAACTTCAACAAGGATGCAGGAAGCAGGTTGAAGGCTAGTCTTGAAGTCATATACTCTGATGTATGTGGACCAACCCATGTGGATTTGATGGAGGTAACAAATACTTTGTTACATTCATAGATGATTTCAGTCGAAAGCTGTGGACTTATCTGATCAAGAAGAAAAGTGAAGTAATCAAAGTATTTACCAAGTTAAGTCTATGGTCGAAAGACAAAGTGGTCAAAAGCTCAAAGTTTTGAAAACTGATGGTGGTGGAGAATATATGTCGAAAGACTTCGATAGGCTATGTGAAAAGGAAGGGATTATGTATGAGGTGGTGTGACCCTATACTCCACAACAAAATGGAATTGCAGAAAGGAAGAATCGAACCATCATGAATATGGTGAGAAGTATGTTGAAAGGCAAGAATTTACCTAAAGAGTTTTGGGGTGAAGCTATTTCGAATGCAACATACAATTTGAACAGATGTCCCACGAAGAAGCTAGAAGGAATTAC